TGGAAAAAATAGCACAACATGGAACAGCTGGAACGAGAGGTTGCAGACAAAAGACGGTGGGCGATTCAAGGCAAGAGAAGTCAAATTTTAAAGATTCTGACCCAGAACACGGAATTATGGTAAGGTGGAAACCAGGTAGAGGGTTTCATCCAATCGCACCGATGTCTTTTATTGCAGCAACCTTCCAAGTAGAAGAAAATTTTGGAGTGTATGGGGATGGGCAAGCTGACTATGGGGCGTGCCCAGCTGATGAAAAAAGGAAAATCATTATGGGCCAATGAAGGGACTCCATCCCTACTTCATGGGTGGAATGAACCTAAGGGGAGAGAATTGAGGAGAAGAATAGCGCATACGAAAGTTGAAGGTGCGGCTCTTTGAAGGAGAGGATGCCTACAATTGGGTTTATCGCGTGAAGAAATACTTTATTGTTAATGGGTTGATAGAGAAAGAAAAATAGTTGGAGGTGGCTCTGTGTTTTGAAGGGAAGACTCTAGTGTGATATCAATGAAGAAAACAACATCAACCAATTAGAAACTGGGAAGAATTCAATGATTGGTTGTTTTATGAACTATTCTAAAAAGGAACTTATATGTGCAATATTTTGTATTGGCCCAGGAAGAGTCTTTCATAGAGTATAGAGAGAAATTTTTGGAGCTAAAAGGGATGTGTCAGGAATTGACAAGTGGGAAAAAAAATATTTATTACATGGAAAGGGTTATCAGATTATGACGTCGTGGGGGAACCGTACGACTTAATACAACATCAGCTTCCTCTTTTCCACCTTGAAGACAATGTGTCTTATTGGAAGAAGAGTAATGCTAGGTTGGCACCGATAATGCTTTCCACCATGCCAAGCCCGCCAATTAAATTGAAGACTTATTTTAGGCGCAATGCTAAAAAGGCAATTTAGTCATTTATTAGTTATTATTGTTTGGTAAAAATAGGCTTAATAGGTTTAGGGTTGAGCATGCTTGTTATTGTTGTCTAGAGTCTTGGGACTTAAGGTTAAGAGAGCTCGACTACCGCTCAAATTGTATGTGGTTAAATTTATGTCTTAAAAGTTGTAATCATTGATTTACTTTGGATGGAATAAACGTACATTATTTATGCCATATCACAAACCTTTGAGGCAAAAACATAAACATCTATATATATTAAAGAATAGAGTAGAGGATTGAATAAGGTAGAGAGAAAACTGGTGAGTCAATGGCTGATGAATTAGTAGGGTTGAGATAAGAATTGGACTGATTGGAGTTTTGGTACAAGATAGAGATTATGAAGGTCGGGTAGGAGAGTAACATGAGGTGGTCAAATTGCGATTATGTGGTGTGAAATTCAGAAGAGGGATCGGCTACTGAAGTTGTTAACAGGTGTGAACAGAAACTCAGCTTGAAGGCGAGGGTAAGAAGTCGAGATGTGGGCTCACTTTTGGCAAGTTTGAATGGTAGAGAGCAAAGGTTCTGTGTGTGAGCTCAAGTGCAAGCCAAGTGACCTCACGATAAAGGGGAGTGAGTAGAATGCAATTTTGTGCGAAAACAAAAGATTAGAGAGGTAAAGTTGGGTCGTGAAACGAGAAGGAGAGGCTCACAGTGAGCTGCTAGGTTTGTCGTGGGCTTGAGTAAATTCTTCAAAAAGGAAGGTTGAGGGTGAAGTGGTTTAAGGGTGGAGTTGAAGCGAATAGCTAAAGAGAATAGGGAAAAGACAGGGAGGAGTTATAGCTACTAGATGAGCATTTAAGGCAAAGGAGAGCTCTAGGTTTTGATTATGGAGTTGCAAACTGCTAGGCATGAGAGAAGGGAAGGGAAGCTTTAATCTTGCACAATGATTGGAGGCGAGGCGAAATGGAGAGCATATTTTTGGATCATGTGAGGATGGAGGAGAGAAGAAAGGAAGTGAAGGGAAAATGGGAGAGGTAGAGGAGCAAATGGCGAACTGTAGCATAATAACTAGGAAGGCGATGTATTAGCTTTTAGGATTTTTATTTTTTATTTTGTTTATCACTTTTTTGTCGTCTTTCATGACAGAAATAGGACAAATGGGATACAAGTGGTTATGATTCTTGCACGGGATGGAAAATTTAGAAAAGTGAGGGTACATATGTATTGAATTTTGGAATTATATATGTATAATTAATATAACTTTCCCACTTCTCTCCTTTTATTTCTTATTTAATTGATTGTTAAACTATATTTTGTTTCGCCTCACATAGTTCTTAATTCACACTCATTGAAGGTCTCATTTGTAATTAAGTCTCACAATTGACATTCGTGAAAGGACCCACCAATATGGGCATTTATTTTTGACATTTTGAATAGATTTTAGAAGAGTCGCCACAATTCATTTTGCAATCAGAAGATGTCCATGTGATATCGACGATGGCAGTTTGAGCTCGATTCGGGCATGCCACATCCATAGTCCACCATTGCCATCGTGTTTGACTGAATTAAAAATAGAATGTCTCTTGTGATAGATTTTGATGATCTGTAGACAACGACAATATCTACTGTATGAATAAGCATGGTTTAGATAATATCGACGACGGTCAAAACAATTTAGCCCTATTTTGTGTGAAATCATGCTTATAGGCCCCCTTACCTACCGTGTAGCAATTTGGCAACAATAAGGGTCATTTTTAAGTACTTCTAATGTTTTGAACATTTTGTTGATGGTTATTTTGAGAATGAATATTGTTTGACTAGCTTTGGCATTCGATGCGATTTTGGACCAATTCGCGTATTGTCAAGTCTGCAGTTAATCGTTTCTATTACTTTCAATTAAATTTGTCATGGAAAGTACCCTTTTTAGCAAATTCGATGATCCAGACATGCTAGTATAGTCAGTTTTGCAACAAGGCAACATTTGGGCAGGTTTGGGAGTGCCTGGAGCATCATGTCATTGATGTGCATGACAATATTTATTAAGATCGTGATCTATTAAGTAGATCAAAGGAGTCCTCTTTTGATAATTTTGATGCTCTAGATATATCAACAAAGTCAATTTCGCAAGCTGATCAAAGATTAATCGATTTCATTTTTTATTATATCTTAGTCTTCAATGATGATTGTTCACTACCATATATCATTATCAACATATTCGATCACATCGCAAATTTTTTTTTTTTTTGGGTTCACACATCCCAATGTCAGCAACTTTGGAGGTCAACGCATATCAATAGGTTTGACAACCAAACCCCATTAACCGCAACCTATATGTGCCCCTGACATGCTTCTCTGAATCTACCAAAAGCCACATTTAACTAATGATCATGGCATGCTCTAAGCCTGTCGATCATGTATATTGCCTTCTAAACTGTAAATGGCCACACTAAGTGTCCCTATATCATTCAATGAAACTGTTAAGACAAGCTTGTGTAAGTAAACAAGTTGATTTTACCCTCAAAAGCACATCTTCAACACCCAATGTTGCTCCAATCTGCTCGTGATAAATGAGACAAGAAAACTCATGAATGTTAATCAAGCTCCATGAATGTTATCGCTCACTGCCCTCTGGTGTTTGTAAATTAATTTCACTCATATATCCAAGATATTGAAATCATGGGATCTTATTAAGGCTTACCTTTACTCAACCATTCTTCACTCAATCAAACTAAATTTTAACTAAATCAATGCCTAAATTTGAGCCTAAGTAAACTTCCTAAACGAGAGTAATCACCCACGAGTACGTTAGGTGATTGACTATAAAAGTTTGGATCCACAAGAGGTCTTGATTCAAATTTAAATAAAACTTAAGCAAACATTAGAAAACTTTAAGTTTTATCATCAAATTGATAAAGCCTGAAGCAGGTGTGGCTGAGCAATCCTCTTTCACGTCCAAATTTGATGGAATATAACTTGGAGAAGAAGATTGGAAATAATAAAATGTAAATATTTTTTAATCACACAAATTATTATCCCAACACCGTTAGACAAAAAGTTACCCCATCTTTACCTTTGCGGTTAGCATCTCAATTGAAGAATAATGATTTAAGCTTTTAGATGAAATTCATTCTTATTCATCGTCAAAATAACATGTTCTCATTTAGAAGAGTTACCTTATTTATAACCCTGGGACATTCACCGAATTAAAAAAAAATTGAAGAAGGAGATGACACAAGAAAAATAAAAGACAAGAAAAAAAGTCAATGGGGGCTACACAAATGCCAATTTTTCTACAAACTTAGTGATAATTTGCAAGCCATAATTTATTTGCAAATCCTGAGAGCATTCTGACCAGCCCAATAGTTGGTCTTCACACAATATATAAACTAAGTATAATAATCATTTTTCAACTAAACTTATACAATATTTTTCAATTATTTTTTAGCAGTTAAAACATGACTTGTCTCTAATCTTTAAAAAAGCAAATTACATGAAAACCTTTTAGATGGATGGTCCTTGTGTTGAGAGAAAAAATTTCAAAAAAAAAAAAGATAAAGAACTTACAAAGAAAGGTAAAGAAAACTATTTCCCACGTCCTAACATAGTGTAACTCCAAGAATGACTATTCTTCTCTTAATTTTATTTTTTATTTATCGATTTACATAATTTTCGAACAAAACATGCTTGACTATGATCAACAGAAAAATTATTTTTATTCAGGTTTCATCATTTTTACAATAATTTAATTATGAATCAATCAAGTGATAAAATTAAGGATGATAACAGAAGCCATCTTAAAAGTCTAATTTTGAGAATGTATGGAATAGATTTCATAAAGTCTAAAAACAATATTTGAACTCTTAGATCCATTAATGTCACCGGTTTCAATTATGTTGAAGAGAACGAATGGAATAGATTTCATAAAATCAAATTTGATAGACTGGAAAAAGAGATTATACTCTTATGAGAAGAAAAATACAAAGTATATTCTAATGTCATCAAGAGACAAATGCTATAAAGACGTAGTCTATTAATTGGAAAAAAAAGAGAGCAGAATAAACCCTTTTATGTGAATTTCATTAATATAAAAATGAGAAATAGAAGAGCATTAACAATACATACTGTAATGGATGAAGAGACAAACTCAAATTGCTTTCCCATGTTAGAACATGCATCAGAGAAACCACGTCTTGTGGCAAACATCATATCCGAAAACTTCCAACCCTAAAAGGTTAATCATGAGTAAGAGAGTATCACTAGTTCCATAGCAAAGACTATATTCAAAAAAGAAATGAAAAAATACAATCAGTCAGCAGTTTCCTCAACAGATTGCCCAAGAAGCCCAAGCAACATCAATGCAAAAATAACTTCTCGAATCGAGAAAAAAGACTATCCAAACAAAAAGTAGTAAAAAGGAAACCTTATGATTTTTAAACAAGGACATAAGATAAAAGTTCCTTAGTATAATGTACAAGTAAAGATCTAGTATAGTGACGTAAACAAAACTAAGACAATTTATCCATGTATATGCATTCAATTGACTTTACAACCACATTTGTTCAATCCAAAAAGATATCAAGGGTAGAAAAAATCAATTTTTATTTAGGCCTACGGACAAGACAGTATGGAAAATATTGGTTCTCTTATAAGGCAAAAAAAAAGAAAACAAAATGCGGACAAGACTGAACAGTTAAAAAGAAAATTCAATTTCATTGGGGGCCCCACAAATCAATGATTGATTGCTCTATTGAGCAGGTGACTTTCATATGGTTGTTTACAAAGAGTTTATTTAAAATCTTATACTATGTTTAAAGAGCTCTCCATCAAGTTGAACCAACAAAAGAGATTAAAGTAGATTTGCAGCTCTATTTATTTTCCATCCAGCTTTAAGAAGTAGCACATGAGATTATCTGAAATTAACATGGACAACATATCCTTTCCATTATTCATTTATTCATGGTTATCTTGTTTTCTAAAAAAAAATAGGAGCTTTCAAAGCACTAAGAGATTTGGGGCTTCTATTGTGGTGAATTTTAGATGTACTTAGGCACAAAGAAGAGCGGATTCATTTGCCTCTTTAATTTCTACACCCAGGACTTCATGTTAGTGTATAAAATTCCCTCTATTCTTCAACAAATGCAGGCCACAATCAAATCGCATAAGTTTTATTGCATTCATTGTGTTTGACCTCTCAAACAATTCCTATTGCCCATTCATCAAGTTCATTCCCAGTGACACTTTTGTATGGATAGGCTTTGGTTTAAAGATCGAGCAAGACAACCATTTTGAGTATAATTAAGCCTAGCATGCTTAATGATACCACAAAAGAAAAGCATAGTGAAAAGAGATGTTTTAATCATTAAAATTTGTTCACTAGTACTGGTTATCAAGAAAGCCTAGAGAGTTAGTAAACTCAATGTTGCAAGCTAAAACATTGAGTATGGTTGCTTGATTTAATCATCTATATCAAAGTACTATGATTCAAAGAAGCGGAATAGTGCTAGCTTCAAGTTGCGACCCTACTCCAAAAGTGAAGAAATAGATTCAAGGAAAGACCGACATGATAACTAGAAGGATTGGTTTCATAATGAATTTGAATACTAAAAACATACGATGCACTGATACTTCTAATCAAACTGCTATGCAGTGTCAAGCACAAGTGCTGATTTAACTAATATTTAAAAAAAAAGGCATGTCCTAAATTAATGAATAAATTAAATTAAACGAATTAAAAATTTCTGAAAAATATTTTTACGACTCAATATAAAAATATACATTTTTTAAATATAAAATTTAAAACATACCACTCAATTTTTATGTATTTACATATCTAACTTTTAAATTTCAAATTTTACATATATGTCACTTTACATTTATATGAAAAGGTGTATTTCCTTTTTTTTTTTTTACTGAAAAAGATTGATATATTAGATGTAATATAAATGATTTGGGTGGTATAAATGTAAAAATTAAATTTTAAGTGTTAGATGTGTATATACATAAGAATTCAATGTCAAAGAAACCAGTGATCCTTTAATTTCTTTTAATGAACAGTTGATTAAGATGACTTAAATCTTGATGTAATACAAGATAAAATATACTTATTCTTTGTATGTCATAAACTAAATAATTATTATTTGTAGTGTTAGATATGTATATGCATAAAAATTAGGTGCCAAAGAAACCAGTCATCCTTTTATTTCTTTTTATGAATAGTTAATAGATGACTTGGTTCTTGATGCGATTCAAGATAATACATGTTTATTTTTTGTATGTCATAAACCAAATAATTATTTATGAACAACTTAGGGGTCCTTTAGGATCACTTTTTTTTTAATTTTTATTTAAATTAAAATAGGTTTGATTGACGTAGCTATTTTTAATATATTTTATACATTTTGATTATTTTTAAATATAATTTCATTTGTTTCTAAAAATAAAAAACAAAATAATACATAAAGTATATCAACTAAAACAAGAAAAAACAGTAATGTCAAATGAGCTTTAACTTCTGAAAGTTAATTTTATTAAATATATTATTCTTTTATATTATTATTGATATTTTATATATTAATTTTTAATATAATGGCATTCCTATATTTTCAATAATAGAATGTCCCATGTATGTTTTGTATCATGTCTATGTTTGTCATATTTATGCAGCATAGCTCAAAACTATTATGATACTTAAACAAGAGACAGCTGCTTTAAATAGTAACAAAGATTCAACGGCAATTGCGCTTCTGAAATTAATGAATTCATCATACTAAATAACAAATGTATTTAAGAGGTTCCTCACTGGTACCAAGTTTAATTCGCACATGTGTTTTATGAGATTGAGCAATACAAACCCGCATGTTTATTGCAAGAACATTCCTTACAGGGGAGAATTATTGGTTTTTTGTGACATTTCTGGTATCTGAAAAGGCATCTTGGGAAAGAGAGGGATGTATCTTTCTATTAGAACTCATAAGAATTAATACATAAAATCTCATAGGTTTGACATGGTTTACTCATGAAGAAAAAATAAAAAATTAAGTAAAACTATTAAGTTGACGTCAGTAGAGAATAGCTATGGGATAACCAATTACGAAGCCCGTCAAGTAAAAGACTGATTAATCTCCTAATGAAGTAGTTTTGGGTGGTCCTTTGTGATGAGCATATATAAATAAATTTGAACTCTCTTCAAGGGCCAACTTGTTTTTAAGTAGTTGGATGAGATTAGAACCAACCTTCAAAAAAGGTTTGCTTGATAGAAGTAAATATATGTGAATTCCAAAATTGAAACTCACATTCATAAAGGACAAGTGAGTTTCAGCTTTGACAATGATGGTTTGAAAATCTAATGTAGTTACAAGTAATGCGATAATGGGTTAGAAAGTTAATAATATAACATAAATTTAATAAGATAATGGGTGAAAATGAAACTCATTACAGTTTAAAAAAAAAATAAAACTCAGATTTTTGCAAAATAAAGAAATTATCAATAAAGCTCGCTCAATGAAACTCACCTTCTAAATGACTTCAATCAATTTTAAACACAGAAGTCAAAACTAACATCCCTCAAAATGGTCCTAATTGCACTTCAAACCACTCATAAGAATGGCTTCAGACATCAAATCTTATTTTGATTGGTAGTTTTGCTTTAGAAAAGAAGTGAAAATCAAGATCTACAGGCATTGACGTAAGATAGTCTCTTTGTTATTACTGGTCTTTTTCAAATTCTTGTTTTTTACAAGAATTTAGAATTGATTTATATTCATTTTGAGATTTGGAGAGCAGTTTATGAGCCCGTTAATTCATATATGATGTTTCTTAGTTTTTTATTAATTCATACTTTCTTTCCTTAACTGTGAATCTAGATTATGGGTAATCATCAAATGCCGGAGTCATCAATTTGTTTTCTCTCTCTATTTATTAAATTATTTTTTCATCATCCCGGTTAGCCCTTCTACCAAGTTAGCCTTTGGTTCTAACACTCTAAAAACTCAACCCACAATATAGAGAGTATAAAAGCATAATACTGCGTTAATGTAATTAGTGTTAAATGCAAATAAACACCAAATTGAAATTCGAACATATGAATATATCCTTTGCTGTACCCTTCCATGCATATAAAAGGAGATCACAAAAATATTGTCAACTGTTGTACTGACTCCAAATTCCAGACGTTATTAATCTCTTTTGAGCATATTGAAGTATGAATACTAGCCATGTCATTGCAGCTCAGAACTCGCTTCTGCTAAGCTATATTCATATTGAAAGTATGGCTAGAATAAATGAAACCTTTGCAAGATAGAAAACTGCTGATTTATCCAAAAAAGCAAAATTTCTATTGAGTATTTGTTGGAAAAAAATAGAAGTTTTATTAAAAATTACTACAACTTGGCATTGGCAACTCAAACTTTCCAAGGTTTTTGTTGATCTCGCACTGACAGTGGTATGAACATCTAATATCCACTACCCTATTATCAGCTACGTAAACTTTGTTACTTCATCTTAGTTCCAAACTCATTCAAAATGGAAATCAATTGTTTTCAATGCAAAATTTCCATTTTGTAAAGAAATGAAAATGTGAAAAATTTGCATACATGTATACGGATGGCAGAATGTGCAAAAAAGGCCAATTAAAGTTTTAGTAATCTGGAGAAATGTCAAAACAATCAAATCAATTCAAAAAACTTGTCGTGCATGTCAATTTTCTGTCACTAAAAAAATAAAAAACTTGAGCACTTCAGCTACGTATTCTGTTGAAGTAGCAGTACCCTCAATCATGAAATTGTTCTGAAAGGAACAAAAAACCATACACTTTTTTCTGAATTTGGATTTGGCTGATATCATGATTCATGAACAAACAAATTATTAAAAAGAGAAAGGTTCACCTTCCACCATGCATATCCACATCCTAAACACCCAACAACTAAGAGAGCTGTGACACCATAAGCACGAGAACCTGCAAAACATTAATAATCCGCCACAGGAAGGTTTTTTGTTAGAAATTGGGAAAAATCAATAGTGCCTAGAAATAATGAATGGGACAAAAAATAAAACATTTTAGTACAAGGAACTAAAGTTTTTCCGATTTTATAGGAAAATAAAAGTTAAATCTACGGATTATATTTTAAAACACTGAAGTCTGCTTTTAAGATCAACTAGCAGTTTTATGGTAGTTGTAGGCACTCCTCTGTCTAGGCACATTTACCATTTTAAGCAAGCTTTCTGTTGAGAACATCAAAAGAACGCAGCCGACTTCAATAAAAAAAACGAAGTTTATTTGACAATTTAAACAAAATGCTAAAGGTGACGGGCCTATATTACTGGAAAATTCATTTTAGGAAATATTAGATATAACCAATAAGAAAAAAATAAATACTAAATCACAAAAACCTTTTCAGTTATGTAAGTTTTTATTAACACTTTTTAAGTGACATCATATGCATTCCAAATATTGAGTTTGTAACACTCCTCTAGCAACCCATACAATAAAATTTTACATTCTTACATACTTTATTTGGAGGAAAGATGTAAAGAAAAAATTTTCTTCTAATTTTGGAATTGCCACAAATATTTCTTACAAAACCTGTTCAGTTGGGTGGTGGATAGATCTGAATTCCAGCAACAAGAACCAGTAATATCTAAATTTCACAAATTTAGCAAAAAAGACAACGAGGACTAATTTAGACTCCATCTTTCAACTTTAGGGTGGGATGTGTAAGAAATTGCTTCTGTAAATTATCAAGATCAGCTAGATAGCACGCAAGAATATGAAGATTAACAAACTCGGAAGAACTGATTCCATATAAAGCAATAAAAAAGCAGACATTAAAATTTAAAATAGTAAGAAAAATTTAAGCCCATTAATTTTAATCAAAGTGCTGGAAAGTCTACATATTTTCTCTACATCCATTAACCTCTCATCAAACTTTACTAAATAAGAAAATTTCCAGAAAAAAATAGCTACGCTCCAGTTTCCTCTTCCTCACAGTCTTCTCATCATCATTGGTAATAAAAAATTTGAGCCTGTTTCGAAGTTCAACTAATAGAACTCCAACCGTTAACATAGATAATAATAGAAACAACTGTGAATAAAAAAATAAAATCAAAATTTTGGACAAAGAAGTAAATCATGAAGATTTAATATAAAATTCTAAGTGAAAAAAAATACATATATATAAGTGGAGACACTTAAAAGCTGCAAAAAAATCAGGCAAACTAAGAAGGCGCAACTGCACCAGCACATGGCTATGGCTCCGTTAGAAACAAAACGCATAATAAATGACCAAAACAAGTGAAACTTCCAATTCTTCAGTAGGGCACAAAAAAAACAATGCAAAAACACTTTTTCTTTCAGTTCATGCTCAAATATAAACAGGATGAGTGGCAACCTGCTCTGGTACTAGTTACTATTGTAACTGATCTGGAAGATGCCAAAATTTGCAGCTCTTTCCTTAGATTATTAACCTGCAATTGCAAAAAAATTACAAGTATAGTATTAACTATTACAAATATTATATTTGGCATTTAAAAAGTATCAAGCAGGAAATGAGGATCGCCAAGTATTGAAAATTTAAAGCACAGAATATTTTTCTTAGTGAAAAAGTAAAGGCAAAATTGAAAGTGCAAAAGATTGAGCACGCAAGTATCAACCATCTCAACTACCATCTCAACTTCATGTTTTAGCTCCCCCCTTCTAAACATTAAGTTTAAACGTAAGATAACAAGTTCGTTTTCTCATTTTATTTGATGTGCTCGTAGAATTTCAAACACTCCAAAAACATGCAATGTTTCATAGATGTTTTTCTTTTCACCCTTTTCCAGACGAAAACGCACTCCATAGCTAAACAAGAAATTGGAAACTACAATAACTTTATGGAGTTCCATTGATAGTAAAGCCATGTTCATCAGACAATTTTGAATTGTCAACCAAATGTATGGATGCAATTAAATAGGAAAGAACAGAAGTGCAAGAAAATTATCTATTAGAATTATTAGCCTAATTAATGTTGTTGTTATTTTTAGGCTTTATTTTCTTTCTTTGATTTCATTCGTTTCCATATTTATGCATTTTTTTAATTTAACTCTTTCCTTTTATGTGGGTCTTGTAATGCGTATTTATACACCTCTTTCCATTCAATAAAAGAATGAAGCTCTATTCTCAAAAGTTAACATGGTATCCGAGCCATGGTTCTATCCCTAGAGCCTCTACCTCAATCGTTGGCCAACTGCAGGTTTCCCGCGTGTTTCTTTCTTTGCAGTAACTCCTCTGTCGCGACAGATTTGTCGCATCCTAAATGTCTCGACTCTCTGCCAATTTATCGCACATCCTTTCAAGTGTTGTGCATCATCCGGCCTGTTCCAACCGCCAAAGATCCTATTTGTTGGCCTGTGCTTTCTCCAGCAGAACTATTCTCCCTGCAGCTTTTTCAGGGCTTCTTCCCTGTTGTTTTCTCCATAATCTTCCTATGTCTCGGCAACCCAACATCACATTTGGCTCTGTTGGAATCATAGAGAATTCTTCCACCGCCGACTCTTCTCCCAATGGTGTTCTCGAGTCCACTGGAAAACTGCATGAACTTCCTAATTATCACTCATAAACTGAACAGGTCTATTTTTTCTCCAATAGTCTCAAGTTGTGTTGTTATTCTTCAAGGGATGCAAGAAATACGGCTATCTCACTAGAATGATTCGTGAACCTCCTAAGACTAGCCCAATGTATGAAAGGTGTGAAGAGAATTTTATGGTCATGTTGTAGTTGATTAACTCTATGAAGATTACAATTGGTTGTTCATATATGTTTCTTCCTTCTGTCAGTGCCCTATGGACTGTGGTTTGGGATACCTACTAAGATGTAGGGAACTTAGCCAACTTTATGTGGTTTCCAAGAAGATCCATGAGGTGAAACAGGAATCGAAGATTGTAACCCAGTACTACAATGATTTGGTAGGCTTATGGATGAAATGCTATCTATTCTATGACTGCAAGTGGGAATCTTCGGCGGACGTTTACCTCTTTTAGAAAATTATAGAAAAAGATCGCATGTTTCAATTTCTGTCAGGCCTTAACAAAGATCTTGTTGAAGTACGGGGTCATATCATTTTAGCCCGGATCCTCTTCCTTCCGCTCGTAGTGCATTCACAGAGACTCAACATGAAGAGAGCCGGAGACTTGTCATGCTCAGCACTTCCACTTCGGTCGAACCATCTGCCTTGGTCATTAATAGTACTCAACATTCGTCCATCCCATCTCGAGCTACATGCTACACTTATAATTATTGCCCCAAACCCAACCATACGCAAGGTAAATGTTGGAAACTCCATGAAAAACCAGCACACAAATCGTCAGTCAAATCTTCCTCTACAAAGGGATTCACTACGACATCTGAATCTACTATAGTTAAACCTGCCTCCACTCGAAACACTCTGGAATCATCTAACTCTCTTAAGAATCAGATGGAACAATTAATCAAACTACTTGGATCCAGTCAATTTTCTTCTGGTCCATCAACCTCCCGCGTCCGTCAAGGTACCATTCCTATGGCTGGATTATTGAAACAAGTATCACAGACCACATGACTGAATGCTCATAAGCTTTCTCAACATATTATTCATGCTCTTAGAAAGATAAAATTAAAATTGTTGATGGCTCCTATAACTCTATAGCTAGTAAAGGGTCGGTTGTATTAACAACCAGTCTAACCATGCAATCTATGTTACATGGTCCCCTGTTGAAATGTAACATGTTATCTACTAGTAAGCTGACAAACGAAATTGATTGCGTTGCTCATTTTTCTCTTGATGTCTGTGTCTTTCAGGATCTTCGTTCCAGGAGGATGATTGGAACTGCTAAGCGAGTAGTCGAGCTCTACTTTCAAGAGAAAGCCATGGAAAATGATGACACTTCTTCCAGTATTTACAGCCTTTCACGATCCACTGAATGTCTTATTATGTTGTTATATTATCATTTAGGTCATCCCAGTTTTCAATATTTAAAACATTTGTATCATTCAATGTTTACTAATAAAAATCTTGCTAGTTTTAAATGTGAGGTTTCTCAATTAGCTAAACATCGTCGTATTTCATATTCACCCCATCCTTACACATCTTCCACTCCATTTTTACTTATTCACAGTGACTTGTGGGGACCCACTTGCACTCCCAGCTATACTAATAAACGGTAGTTCCTTACCTTAATTGATGACCATACGCGAATTACGTGAGTCTATATCTAAAAAAATAAATCTAAAGTTGTCACCTACAAATACTTTCATTCCTTCATTTTGATCTAATTCAAAATGTCAATTCAAGTCCTTCGAACCGATAATGGCCGCGTATTTTTTAACTTTACTTTAGGTCAATTCTTGGTAAGGGCATTCTCCATCATAGCTCGTGTACAAACGCTCATCAACAAAATATGATAGTCGAGAGAAATAACTGACACCTTGTCGAAATGGCTCGATCCACTATATTTCAATCTGATGTCCCAAAAAGATTTTGGCACGAAGTCATGCTTACTATCACCCATCTCAACAATAAAGCCCCCAAAAATATTCATAACTCAAAATCCCTTCAGCCAACTTAACGTCATATTTCCCTACCAATCGGTTCTTCACCAATCTTGAACCCAAAATTTTTTAGTACAAGGCCTTTGTTCGAAACAGTGCTCCTAATCGTAGTAAGCTCAATCTCAGATCTATAAAATGGGTCTTCCTCGAATATTCTGCCACTTAAAAAGGCCATCAGTGTATTGATCCTACCACAAATAATCTCTATGTGAGTGTCGGTGTCTCCTTCTTTAAAAGTGTTCCCTACTTCCATGTCACTGCCTCAAGTGAGAGGGAGCTTGATTCCTTGGACACTCTTCCTTATCCGGCCGCGGTGGATATTTCTCCATCCATTATACCCAAGAAACCATTTGTCCTTCTGAATCCACCAACTACAGGTAAACCAGAGCCTCCTCCCATCCTCTGAGTCTTTATTTGGTGCACTCGTCCTAATACTCCTACTTTAGAGCTTGCTACTTTCTTATAGCACCTAGAATCCACTCCAAGTGACATCCCCAGAAATAACCCCACTCCAAATGATGAGGTGAGTTATCCTATCAACGTATGTAATCAAGCCAGCTCTCTTTATTCTATGAAAAATATAACTTTCCACAGTGTACCACCGACCTACAAAACGTTTGGTACTGCCCTAAAGGATCATCATCTGCCATCTACAATTGAAGCGATATTAGTCGACCCTTCCTGGAAAGCTACAGTGATTGATGAGATGAATGTCCTTCAACGAAATCATACATGAGATGTTGTGGATCTTCCTCGAGGAAAGAAAGTTGTGGGATGTCATTGGATTTTAGCACCTAGTTCAACTCTGTTGGATCCTTTGAACGCAAGGCACAGTTGGTCTCAAAGGCTACTCAAAAACATATGTGGTTGATTATGAGTAGATATTTGATCTAGTTACTAAATTGAATGTCATTCGGATCATACTTTCTCTTGCTGTGAATTTGGATTCGCCCTTACTCCAACTGAATGTCAAGAATGCTTCCCTAAATGGAGATCACACAGAGGAAGAGTATGAAGTGCCTCCCTCCAGGATTTGACTCTACTTTCTCCCGTGAAAAATATGCAGACTGTGGAAATCACTATACGGACTAAAGCAATCCCAGAGAACCTGATTCAGTAAGTTCACAAAGGTGGTAATGGGTCATGGATTTTCTCAGGCCCAATCAGAACATATTCGCTTCTTTCGGCATTCCTCTAGTGCCAAAATTGCTATCCTTATCATATATGTCGACAATATTGTGCTCACAGGAGATGCTTTACTGGATTTAGAGTCTCTGAAAGGTCTTCTTGCCACTTCATTTGAAATGAAAGACTTGGAATTGCTCTGGTACTTCTTAGGCATGGAAGTTGTTCGATTATCTCGAGGCATTTGTATGCGTCAGCACAAATATGTGTTTGATCTATTGACAGAGAATAACTTACTCCTTTGCAAACCAGTGGCAATTCCAATGGATCCCAATAAGAAATTCGTTGATGATCCCAATGTTGTTCCGCTGAGTAAGACTCGCTACCAACGTCTTATGAGGAAACTCATGTACCTGGCACATACTCACCCCAAGCTTTGCCACGAAGTAGGTAGTGTGAGTCAATTTATGCATGATCTATGAGCACCATCTCAGATATGTCCATAGAATCCTTCACTACTTAAAAAGCATACTGAGCTCAAATTTTTTTTTTTCATGTCAAACATCTCATTCTATTGTTGTTTATATGGATGAAGATTAAATTAGGCCCTTCCATGATCAGTGATAAACCTCAGGATAATGCTCATTCATGTGGGAAAATCTTACCACATGAAAAAACAAAAAATAGTTGATTGTGACTCAAAACAGTGTGGAAGTCGAGTTTCGCTCCAAGTCCTTGGGTATCTGTGAAGCTTTCTGGTTGCACACCATACTCCGTGAATTACATCTACTAGTCTCTACTCCTCTCCAACTGCTCTGTGATAATAAAGTTGTCATTAGCATCACCCATAATATGGTCCAGCATGATCTCACCAAGCATGTAGAGATTGACTAACACTTCATCAAGAAAAAAATTGATTCAAGCGAGATTTGTATTCTATTTATTCCATCCAATGGTCAATTAGTGAGCATCCTCACCAAAAATCCTCCTCAGCAGTTGTTTGACGACTTCAAATCCAAATTAAACATGATAGACATCTATGATTCAACTTGAGGGGGGTACTAGAATTATTAGTCTAACTAACATTGTTGTTATTATTAGGCTTTATTTCCTTTATTTATCATCTGTTTTCATATTTATGTATTTCTGAATTTAGGTCTTTCCTTTTATGTGGGCCTATGTACTTATACAACTTTCCAATCAATGAAAAGATGAAGCTCTATTCTCAAAAGTTAACAATTTCAAATGCAAGAAGCATCATAAATGATAGGCATATTTGTGAATATAAGACAGTTCAGTAAAGAGTTCCTAAAGCTTCAGCCCATCTGCTGACAACAAGCAACAAAAAAGATGATGTCAACAAAAGCATTTCAATAAAATAATACTTCAGTTCCTAATATTAGTCAAATGCTAATCAAGAAACAATGATGCAAAACAAAATAACATTTCATTCTTAACCATCAATCAAATATTATGAGCTAAACATGCAGAAAAGTAGAACAAAAAAATTAATAGAAAAATAAATGCCCTTGAAAACATAATACACTTCTGCACAAGTCTTTATTCAGAATTATTATGTTTTAGTAGCAGGGACCCAAAAACCCCCAGACAAAATCACTTACAAACTAACTACAAGTGACCACTTCTACAAGAGTTTGGTTTGCCTGAGAGATTTAAAAAAGGATGCAGAAGAAGATCTCATAAAATAAAGATAATTCATCGGAGCAGAAACAGCTAAGAGAGCCTTATTCTTCAGATCACCTTTTATGATACAGAACAATTTTCAAGCAAATAGTGTCAGATGATCAAGCTGGCCACTTAGGCTAATCCATCCTACTAGAGTTAAGCTAATTTGAACTAACCCGACAAATGAATTAAGTTATTCAGCTTCCATGGACTTGCATGGATCTGCAGGCAAAAGCTGCACAAACGAATGATTACATAAAGCAATGAGGATACAACTATGATGGGAGTGCAACATCAACACAGAGTGACCCAAACTACAGCTGAAAACGTTTTAAAGGGGTTAATTTTAGATTTTTCTGTTTAAGGAAAAGTATTATCCTATGTTTACTTGATTTAAGAATTAGATTTATGTGGCTCCTATTTGAGATTTTAAAGCGTTCTATTCTCTCTTATTATTACAAATAGAAGGTAAAGAGTTCATGTAAGCCTAATGCAATTATTTTCCAATTATAATGGAATGACTCATCGTCGCCAAAATTTCTCCCATTTGGCTCCCCTATATATTTCTCCAAGTACAATGGAATGACTCATCGTCGCCAAAATTTCTCCCATTTAGCTTTAGGAAACTATTTTTTATCAATCTTATATACTCGAAGGATGAACTTGAAAAAAAAGTGGTACTTAAACCAATTAGCCGCATACAAACAGTGGATGAACTATTTTAGACCACAGCCTTTCACTTTATCAAACAACCAAATAGAACTCTGTTTAATGTTACCCATGTATGCACTCCATAACAATGTCAAACATTGAGTATCTTACCGCAAAACAAAATTGCTACAGAAGCATTTGCATGTGGATAGACAATTATCCTTTTAGAATAATGGAGATATTTTTCACTCAACTTTATGTTCCCTTATTTTGCAAACATACATCATCCAATTGACAATCCAGAACATTCTCCTTAAGATTCACCAAATAAATAAGTATAACATCAATTTTGATTATTAAAAAATATAATATTGATTTTCATGAAATTTGAATATGATTTCATCATGCATCAAAAATATGGTCTAGAAAGTGAGATTGATGATTCATAAATTTCATAGTGTTACGAGTACTAAAATCAAATGAAAATCGCAAGTATAAAATATATCAAAAATTTGAGCCAGAGAATTTGAGGAATAAGTTACTTCTAGTGCGAGTAAATATTAGAAATTTATTTCTTCATTAAGTTCACACGCGCAAAATTCCTCGAGTCCTATAAAATTAATGAAAATTTATGCATCAATTCATAAATTGGTGATCACATTATCTTTAATCAGCATGTGAATCGATATGCATGTGCATTATGCATATAATATAAAATATGCATTGATTTGAATGCTTATATCATATATTACAAAGTAATATACTTGGATGAGCATTAATGTGACTTTGTATGAATTTTTTATTAGCGTTGCGCATCAATTAGCAAATTGGTTATCTTATTATCACTTATTTCGATCAGCCAGTAAATTGATTTGCATGTGTATATATGCATATGATATACAATTTGTATTTATTTGCTACTTATAGAACATAATACATACTAATATATATAATTAAAGATTGGATAACTGTTGAAATAACTTTGAATGAAAGATGCTTTAGCCCAATAATTTGTGTGTGGGCATGCACATATTAAGTTCAGTTAAAATGGGTGATCAAATTATTAAAAGGTGTGAACGATTTAGATATCTTGGGTCCGTTGTCCAAAGCGATGGTGATATAGATGGGGATGTTAATAGTAGAATTCAAGTTGGTTGGTTGAAGTGGAGGAATGCTTCGGGCCTTTTGTGTGATAGAAAAGTACCGCTAAGACTGAAAGGAAAATTTTATAAGACGGTGGTGAGACCTGCAATGCTCTATGGCGCTGAATGTTGGCCTTTAAAAGAGAAGCATAATAATAAGTTAAGTGTTGCCGAGATGAGAATGATTAGGTGGATGAGTGGCTTTACACTTAGAGACAAAATGCGGAATGAATATATTCGTGATAGGGTTGGTGTAGCGCCTGTGACAGACAAAATTAGAGAAAGTCGTCTTAGATGGTTTGGTCATATTAAACGTCGACCATTAGATGATCCGATTAGGAGAGTAGATGCTTTAAATTCGACTTGTGTTAAGAAAGGCAGAGGTAGACCTAGGAAGACTTGGGCTTATTGTATTAAAAATGATCTTAATTTATTAGAACTAAATGAAAATATGACACTAAATAGGACGCAATGGAGAAAAAGGATTCATGTGGCCGACCCCACGTAGTGGGATTAAGGCTTTGTTGTTGTTGTTGTTGTAAAATATGAAAACTGAATGATTGCTCGAATATAACAAGCTTTATTATAGTCAACTTAAACGTTCCATTGTATCTATGTATAAATTTTACCAATCTAGCCTGCTAGAAGAATTAATCAAAAGCATCGCACCCATGAATAAGTTTATCACATGTATCTAAAGTAAGACTGCCAGAAACATGCTAAGAAAATTGTCATTTCCTTTGTAAACCTGAGCTAGAAGAGTATCAGTCTTTGGCTTGGGAGCAGATCCAGAGCCATCTTTATCTTGCTGTAGGTGCTTAGTGACAATCTGTAAAACAAATGAATCATTATAAACATATAATTTGTCATATATTGCATCCCAAATATATTCATTAGTAGCAAAGCAGTCATATATGTATGTATGTATGTATGTATGTATGATGGATGGATGGATGGATGTATGTATTTATGTAGATACATATATATTGACAGTGGTAATACCCTTAAAGCACCAGAAAAAAAGTTTGTGGCATCTGATAAGCCCCCTTCCTTTGACAAAACTGATCCAAGCAAGCCTGCAAACAAGCAGCACGTATTAACCCAGCAACACCAGAATTACAATGCAATAGATAGCTATCTAGGGAAATGACAAAAGGTTAAAGGGCAATGCTCCAAGAGAAAATCAAGATTTGTCCAAGAAGCTAAAAAAAATAATTAGAGATTGATCATCCTAAAAAACGATGTACTTTAATAAATGAAATATTCATTCACGCCAAAAAAATAGAAGACTAAAAAGAACAAATGAACTACCAATCAAAGTTTGAAGATTTTGGTCATTTGTAAAAAAGTCCAGACGCCGCACCAATAAGCTTGGAAATAAAAAAACGTTTGAATGAGAGAAGGACAAAGAAGACCATGGCAAGAAGCAGTACAAAATATTTTTTAAACTAGAGTTAACAGTTAACACAATTTGCAGCTTTTAATAAGAGTGTGTCAAACAAAGGTTTAAAAAAACCGAACCCAAAGTATTGGAATTATTAGCCTAATTATTAGGCTAATTATTGTTGTAGTTATTATTAGCTTTTATTTGCTTCCTCTATTTTCCGTTTCCATACTTATATATTTTCTAGTTGGTCTACTTCTGAATTTATGTCTTTCCTTTTATTTGGTTATTGTAATATGTATATATCCATTTTCCTATCAATGAAAGTAACAAGGTCTATCCTCAAAATTTAACATGTATCAGAGCCATGGTGCTAACCCTACAGCCTCCACCATAGCCACCAGCCACCTGACCTGCAGGCCCTTCCCTATTAGGCTTCTGCCGCCGACCAACTCAGTGGCTCCCTGTCTTTTATCTCTGCCGCCATATTCAGTGCCAGACTCTGTCGCCAACCCCTCTACAAGCAGCACCAGCCTCTGCCGCCACAGGCCTCCAGTCGTCGGTCTCTATAGAGTGTTGTTGGGCTGGCTAGTGGGTGTTTTCAACAACAAGAGATCCTTTCTGCCGACCTGATTTTTCCCCAATTAGCTAGTCCTTCCCGGCTAATGCTTTCAAGGACCTATACAGCCGCCGAGTCTTCTCCTGTCCAGCCTCCAAGGGCTTACGATGTCTCGGCAACCCAACATCTCATTTGACTCTGTTGGAATCATAGCGAACTCTTCCACCACCGAGCCTTCTTCTGATAGTGTGCTTGAGTCCACCGGAGGGTCGACATTGATCTCAAACCCTTCGCAGACTGGAGGACAGAAAAACCACATGAGTTTCCTAATCACCACCTATAAACTAAATGGATCTAATTGTTGGCATCAATTTTTGATTTCGCATGTGTGGGGTGTCCACTTGAACACGTTAGGGTCGCACTCTATGCAAATGAGTTACATGTAACTCGAAACATTCGTTCGAGACCCACCGGCATATGTTGAGAGGCACGTAGTCGGGGCCACTATACTAGACTTTGGCTTTCGCTTGGACGAAGGCCAGTCGGCGTTCTATTCATTGGACGGCCCCGATCGAGTCGACGAATGGTATTCGTCGCACTGCGCGCGAAACTGGCTCAGCTTGACCCGAACGTCAGTGGAATCATCAAGATGGCCCTGAACGACAAAACGGACCGCGCGAGTGTATCTGAAATGTCGATTTCACTAGGGAATGACGCTCATTTTGCTGCGAGAACATATTTAAGTGAAAAATGTGTGAAGCATAGCTATAATAATATTATTATTATAAAATTATAATGTTATATATATATATATAAATTATCCCATTATCCCTCTTTAAAACCCACGCATGCTTCAAAAAAATGAAAGATTGAAAAAAGCAAATTAAAATC